AGACAAACAAAGACACTTGACTTGCATGCTCCCTTTTCTCTTTATTTTCCTCTTGCATGTTGCATCAAACCTTTTACTTTCCTTAATTTTTTTCCACGTGCATCTTTCCAGCATACCAATCCCGATGCTGACTGTAGCTATGGCAACAACTTTCCATTGACTTCCCAGCAAACCATGATGCTACAGCAGCCAGGTGTGCAGCAGCGGGGGCTGGAAAGAACAACAGGGAAAGGCCATAACATGTTTATGTTTTTGATAGAGCATCAGAGAGAGGGGGAGATTTAGTCTGTGAGAAGTGAGAGGACGATGTCCGCCCCCCAAAACATGGCAACCTCCTTTAAAAGAGCCAGACACATGACAGCCTCTGTCTGTCTGATGCATTTGTGTAAAATGTAATCATATCTCTGTATGTTGCTGCATGAGCGTGTTTGCCTTTGAAACAATGTCCAAAGCATGCATTCAGTGAGTACATGTTTTGCCAGCAGATTAACAACCTGCACAGACCTTCATTTATCAAAGCACCCACACAATACAGAGAGAGATAAGCAGCTACTGCAGGCGGGTAACTTAACTTATGGAGTTACAGTATGTTGTAGCAGTGTTTACATGTTGAAATATTTAACTCTTACTACAGTTTTCTGTTTGTTTGTTTCAGGCTGATTACAATTATTTCATGACTCTTTGTCTGGTCTTAACAACATGGGGAAAAAGTGAATGGTGCCTATCACAAAAATAAAATAAAACGTGTTGTTTCCTCTGAGAGAAAGCCCAAAACTCTGAGATATTAGAATTAATGTCAAAAGTACGACCAAGAAACACAAGCAATGGAAGTTTAAAGGCGTTTGTTCTTGTACGTTAGGGACTTAGAAAATAAAGTTAGAAAGTGACATCTGACACTGAATCTGCAGCTGTAGTGTTAATGACACATCCACGTGACACACCTGAGTGCATACTGTGTGTGTGTGTGTGTGTGTGTGTGTGTGTGTGTGTGTGTGTGTGTGTGTGTGTGTGTGTGTGTGTGTGTGTGTGTGTGTGTGTGTGTGTGTGTGTGTGTACAAGAGGAGGAAAGAACAAGCACAAAGATGGAGCACTGACACCTCAGGTGTGTGTTCAGGTAAAACGATACACGTCACAGCGCAGTCATGATGTTCTTGAAGCGTCTCTACCTTTCCCATGAAAACAAAAGAATCAAGTATTGTTTCTGCTAAACGTGTTTGATGGAGTCCGCTGCTACGCACAAACACAGATGGCGGCAACAGCGTTAAAAACACGGTATTGTTACGTCAGCGTAAATGTCAGGTATCTGTACCTCCATGGCTGTTTATTGTGCCGTCAACATTTTAACACAAATGTTCCTACCATCATCTCCTAATAATTTCAGAGCAGAGAGAGATGAACTCAGTGACATCATCAGCCGGTCTCTCTCTGAATATGGGGATGAAAAACGCCTCTACAGTCTTCAGGTTATATAAAAGGTTGTTATGAGGTCGTGTGGTTCACTGTCAGTCATTGTCAACAGTAATAGCCTATTAGTGCCTGAACATTGGATTTCTAATAAGCTGACATGACTCAGCTGCACTCCTGTTGTGCTGCAAAGCTTTGAAGAAATGAGCAAACTAGAGATGATATTTTTGCATCATGATTTGAAGTTGTTTTTTTTTTTTTAAATGCAATCAGATGGAGGGGAATTAGAGGGTATGGACATCCATATGTGCAGCGCTTCCAGAATGTACAAGTAAACACAGGAAAAGAGATCAAAAACCTGTGGGGGGTTAAGGGGAGATGAGTGGTCATAAAACATACAGGCAGTGTCAGGTAACCAGGGGAACACACACAATCACACAAAAATCTTGAGAGGGGAAATTTATTGGCTAAATGTGCAAGTGATAAAAGCTGCAGAAAGGGCTCATGTCTACCCCTGTTTCCTCTTTACATACTTGTAAATGTGTGTGTGTGTGTGGAGTCGACGATGTGTGTGTGCCTTTAGGGGCTTCCACTGTTAACAAAAAGCTACATTTGTTGTTATTTTAGCTTATCTTTGTTTACAATTTAGCACATTTCCAGCATTGGAATAATGCTGAATTATCCATTAGCATCCCCTGTTGTTAATGAAACCTGAGAGGTATACAGAGTATTACTGGATTACTTTGAAACTGAAAAAACACTGTGAGCTTTGAGTGCACCTTAAGTACCTTCATGAGATGTGTGAAGCAGCCAATGCTGCAGCTCGAAGTGTAGATAACTGTTGATAAGCGTGCCAAAACTACAACTTAAAAGCTGTCCCTTTCACCTCAGGCCCTCTGTATGTTTGAATCTCTCTGCCCGTTCATATTTCCTGCACTAAATACAATCTTCATGCAATCCTCAGCAGAAGGCCAGCGGCTGCAAACAGCAAAGGGTTCGGCCCACGTGCACATACACAACCACCATCTCTGACATAATGACACATGGACCAGGAAGCACCGAGAACCATCAGACCCCCCCCACTGTTGGACTCCACATACCCTGCAAACTTTTGCTTCCCCCCCCTCTAACCTGCCCCCCAAAAGAGGGGGGCCCCATTTCCTGAAACTCCTTCCCACAAATCTTCAAGGGTTGTTATTGGCTGCTCTCAGTCTCGGGTTCCCTCATCCCGTCTGCTCTCTCTCTCTCTCTCTCTCTCTCTCTCTCGTTCTTTCTCTCATGCCTCTTCTTGTAAATAAAATATACGAGAGGAAATGTGCTGCTCTCAGCGAAACATCTCACAACAAACTGAGTCAACTTAAACAGCTGTCCAAGTCACACAAACACCACGATGGAAAAAATGCTCTGATTGTTAACGCCGTGATTAATGGTTTGGTTACTGGTCAGTCTGTTTTTTTTTCCCTCTGCTTTTGTTGAAGCAATATTACACAGCAGTGATTGCCAAAAGCTTCTTGCCAGGCTACACAAGAGACACGGTATGCTGTTTCAGCGTGCAGCGTCATTAGTGTGTGGTGGAGCAGCTTTCTTTCTGATGGGACGAGAAACAGAGACGTCCACCAGACTAACAAGGGCTCGTTTGAAAGACAGAGACGGTAGTTTATGGTCAGTCAATGCAAATCAAGTTGTATAAAATCAATGTTCCAACAGCAGCTCGTTCAATGACCTCCAATTTTCCTGCTTTTCTTCCCCCAAAACACTGCTGATGCTCATCCTGCCAAACCTTCTCTCCAGCCTTTCATTAGAGTCATTAACGTCTGGGAGAAAGAGAGAAACGAGAGACCTTTCAGTATTTCATGAGTCTTAGCCGAGGCCAACCCCGACCCCAGCGTGCACTGTGATTCCTTCCCCACAGGTCACAAAAAGCCAAAGCCAAACAAAGACACACGTTTAAGATTTAACTGATTGGCCCTGTCACTGCGCGGGGAGAAACAGTGCCTGAGTGGCTGCTCACATTTTGGCAGGGCTGAGCTAAGTGAAAACACATGTTGTGTAAATGCAGAAAGCAGAAGTTTGAGTGGCCCCCGTCCTCCTTGCTGATAGGGACCATGTGAAACCAAAGCCAATCAGATTTCTGAGTTCCAGGGGACAGAGTGGACGGAAACACATCCTGTTTTCCGTGTCAGCATGGAATAATCAAACAGTACATGAAAAAAAAAAAAAAAAGTATCAGATGACTATTCCGCTTTATGTAACTCTGTCGATAATAAACACAGAAAGCTGAGCTTTAAATAGCCTGAAAGAATAAAAAGAAAACATCTCTACTATGCAGAATCTCTAACACAAAGGCATTCAGAAAATCTCCCTCCAGCTCTCTACATTCTTAATTTTTTAGGATTTCCTTGGATTTCCGATTCTGCAGAATCACTGCGTCGTCCTCTAGCAGATTCCCAACTTCTGACCTTTTGACCCCTCTCCCTCCGTTTGACCTCTAACACAACTTCTTGAATGCTTCCAGATACCGCCCCCCCCCCCTCTCTCTTCGACACACACGTATAGACACACATACATACATGCATGCATGGAAGGCTGCACAACAGGATGGAAACTTGCATGACATCTTCTCATCTCGTCTGAAACTGGCAGAGCGACATGAAAACAAGTCTGGGTTGAAAGCAGGTCTGAGCCGAGGAGAATCTGTTAAGAGCGTCGACTCATCGCCCGCAGTCTGTCTGATATGTTTTCAGTATTTTAACTCTGCAGTTTAGGAGTTTGCTGAATTCTAAGAATGCTGAAATATATAATTAGCCTTTATGTAATGAGGAATCATATAGTAATGAGAGGACGCAAATATTAGAATGACTGAAAATGCCAAAAAAACAGGTTTAAAAGAAGATCCTTGTTTTCGTTTTTCAGGGTTTAACACAAGTTTAAAGAATATAAATATGAAACAAATATGTATTTTTTTTAAGGTTAGGTTTTTGTACTGGTGGAAACAACATTTAGCACTTTATTTTGTAAACTGAACAATACAGGTGCAGCACAGTACTTTATTAAACCTTCATATTGAGCCATGGTTAGCTGCTTCCTCTCTTCCCTGTCTCTTTGCACTGCTGTGTTTAGCGTCATGTTTACCGTGCAGACATGAGACTGAGTGTTACGTCATCTTTCCGTGCAGGAAGACAAATACGTGTCAATTCAAAAGGTTCATCTATACCTCCAAGTCATTTTGCTGGTTTCAGTGTTTCCAGTGTAAATATTTACTGATTAACTTTTTCTTTGTTTGGTTTCAGTCAGAATGTTTTTTACAGCTTGTTGGGTTGACACAACAAGACAGTTTCAATATTTCACAATCTGATGGAAATGTCTGTCAGCGTCAGTGATCATGATACTTCAGCTTGGAGTTTCAGGAGGCTTGGTGCTACAGAGTCAAAAACTTAATGAGATATTTTGAGCGACCTCTGTCAGGTCTCCGTTTAGATCCTCGCACTCCCATTTTGAACCAAAGGATGACGAGATGTAATGCTGCATATAGCTGCATAAAGATAATGACCCTGCTGGTTGCAGTGTAGATCTCTCTGTAGTGGGGTCCAGCTTACCTTCTTGGCAGCCTTGGATGGGGACCTCCTGGTGGGCTTCTGCACCTGGTTGCTCGCTACAACCGGCTGCTTGGACACCGAGCCGTTCTCCCGCTTCTTGCTCGGGGTGGAGGGGACGCTGGAGGGGGGGTGGGAGGGGGAGGAGGAGGAGGAGGAGGAAGAAGGAGACCCGACCCCAAGGACGGCCATCTCCTCCGTGGCCGTGAGGCGCAGGCTGCGCAGGCTCTCGTGGGTCTCGTTGTCGACCACCAGCAGCCTGGTCTCATTCTCCAAAGCTTTGATCCTCTGAACCACCTGAGAGACGAGACGAGAGGTCATTTGAAAAAAAGCATGAAAACAGTCCAGAATATGGCTGCAGAGAACGAGTCCGGACCACTTCTGTTAAAGAATCACCTTGTTCTGTTTCTCTGTTGAAGCCTCCATTCAGTGCAGAACATTTTGAACACATTCATACTTTTCTTACAGGTGAATGTAGAGTGCTGTCAGAGTCATGACAGAAATATGAAAATACCAAAAGATCCTGCTGTGTTAATTAAACAATAACGATACGTATTTGTATCCCACTGCAACACTAACACTCTTCCACCAGCTCTCATGTTTTCAGTACGCTGATCTTGGAAACAAATGTGTACTATGGATTAACCTCTTTCCTACCAACTGTCTTATAAAATAAATGTAGTTTTTTAACTTCCAGCACTTTCTTACACAGTTGATCCTTCAAATAATGGAGTTTGTATCATCTTGAAAACGCATGGTATCTGAAAAGTATTTACAAATTTGCAAACCGTTGTGTGCAGGTTGAAGCTGAAGTCATAGTTTAAACTAAAATTACAAAATTTCTTGTTCCAGCCTCTTATCTTATCTTGGTTTATCTGTTGGACAAAGCAGGAAATAATGAGCTTGAGGAAGCTGGTGGCATTTTGCACTCTTTTGAATCAGTGAAGGAAATTAGAAAATAATTTTGACATGGTTTCGATTGATTAATGGACACAAAACCATATTGTAGAGATGTCTCTCAGTAGACTGGGCAGAGGAGAGGTTTCTGGTCTAATCTTCCCACCGGCTGTGAGCATCATTGTTTCCATCATCATGATTGTAGAGTTATGACTGACAGCTTACTGTATGGCAGACCCCTCCATTAGACAACCTCACAACTTTTCATTGGAAAACCCTGAGAGATCAATCCATCAGTCTTTATTTGCCAATTCACAACAAGTTTTATCTCGAGACACTTTACACAAAGCAGGTAAAAGACAACCTCACTCTTTGTTAAGAGATGTGGAGAAACAACTCTCTGACACACGGTGCCCTTCCCCTACTCCTTTGTGTGAAGTAAGACAAAAAACATCAAGGCAGCAGAGTCGTTCTGAGTGCACCGAACACAAAGTTCAACTGGTTTGTTGTTATCAAGGTCACAGAGCAACTGTCTGTGTGTTTGGGGAAAAAGATTACCCGGAGCCTGCTGTCCCCATCTGACCACCAGCAGTGGCCCCGAGTGAAACACACGCTGCTGATTCAAAGTCTTCACATGAAAACAAAGGTGGAGAAAGCGATGTAACTGAATACATTTAAATGTCCTGAAACTCAGACTTCACCAGTGACGTCATAATGTTGTCTTTCAGTAATGCAGGTCTGGAACAATATGCAGCCTGACAGCATGCTCTTATCACCTTTAAAATAAAGGTTGGCTACTGTGCAGGTTAGTCACAAGGAAAAACATTATGTGATGGAATTGCAAACATGGAAAGATTGTTTTCATGTGGGCAAACTATCAGCTTGGGAGAGAAGCTGAATGGAAAGTTTCACAGTGAGAGCTTGCATCAGGAGGAGGGAGGTGTGGGTTGTTTTTTTTTGGCCTGATTGATACAGTAACTGTCCCATGCAACTAAGTGTCAGTGTGCATGCTCCAAACGCTGCGACCTGTTGCTACAAAGCCCTGCTCAGGCCATCAAAAATCCGTCTAATAACAGAAAGTAAAGCAAGAAATATGTTGAACTTACCTGGTGGTGCGTCTCTTTCTCCACGTTCACCCCATTCACTGCCACCACACGGTCCCCAGCGCGCAGCCCCGACGCTTCTGCAGGAGAGCCGGGCTCCACTTTGCGGATGAACTGTCCGCTCTTCCCTTTCTCTCCATGTAAGTGAAACCCAAAGCCACCCTCCGCTTTAGCTATGATACAAAGCCGGGGTTTCCGCTCGCTGGCCATTTCCTCCCGTTGTGAAGTTGTAAATCCTCCTGCAGAGTCCAGTTAATGTTTGGTGATAAAAAAAAAAAAAAAAAGCAAAATATGAGCGTTTCGAGGGGCTAAACTTCCACGGAGCAAAAACACATCAGCCCGATACGCACGCTTTCCCCCATATTAGAATAACACACAACAACAACAACAACAAAAAACTACAAAATGCACTGTGAAAGGGAGAAACACCACGGAGAGAAATAGATGCATCAAAGGCAGCAAACTTTGAGAAAACGATGCGAGCAGTCCTCCAGATCGTGTGTCAGGCTGGAGCGCACTGCTAATGACTCCAAAAGTGATCTCCTCCGCTGCGCGCAGACTTCAGAGCCAGAAACGGCAGCCGTGTTATGCCGAGCAGATCACCTGGAGCTCACCTCTGCGTCGACAATTATCCACAACGTCCGATCGCAGAACGTGCATGCAGTTGAACTGGAGTTTGCGCAGGGGTTAGCGGCTTGTGCGCAACAGCACCACCTCCCACCAGCCCCTCACTACCTGTTTGTTTCTGTGAGGAGGCTGAAATATTCCAAGGACAGTCAGAGGATCCAAATTGATAAAATACTGCCCCCTGGTGGCAGAGGATTGTTTATTGCCATGGCATGTGTGATCAATGTGAAGAAGCAAATCATTTTAAAAATATGGCAACTTTGAGGTCTTCTTGTGTTACGTTTGTATGAGTCATAATCACATGAACAACTTTGTGATATGCATCGTTATTTTTATTGACTTATAAAAGTCAATAAAAATTTAATTAAAGCAGAATAAAAGACAACAGCTTGATACAGACGCATGCACGATACCACATCGCGGGTTGTGTGTACACTAAATTAGAAGACCATGGAAGTTTAAGTTTTATTGGAATAAAATAGAATATAAAAGCAGATGAACAGAGAAGCATACTATAAATAATAGGAATATTTATAGCATTAAATAATAGGAATCTTTATAGCCACACCTTTCACTGTTAATTTAACGGGGTGTTGTAATTCTATACTGTGACCACCAGAGGACGGTGAACACTCATGATTCTAAAAATACACGCTAACAATGTTTCACTCTTTTCTGAAAACGGACACATTGCCATCGAAACCGAGCCACTGACTAAATGAAAATAATATCACAAAGACACAAGTCTCAGATTATAATATCCTACAGATGTTACACATGTAGCTCTGTCGCTTTAAAGCACATATATCTTAGTAAATAGGTAAGAAGTAAGTAAGTAAAGTTTATTTATATAGCATCTTTTAAGAAAAGAGGTCACAAAAGTGCTTCACAATAAAGAATTGAAAGGAGATATTACAAACAGACAGTCACATAAAATCAAATACGGACAGATCAAACAGAGGCACGTCTGAACAGATGGGTCTTTAGCTGCTTTTTAAAAGTGTCCACAGAGGTCGAAGCTCTCAGTTCAGAGGGAAGACCGGTCCAAAATGTAGGTGCCACAACCTCAAAGGCCCAGTCTCCTTTTGTTTTCAGCCTCGTGCGAGGAACAACCAGCAGACCCTGGTCAGGGGACCTCAGGGACCTGCTGGTGTTATATGGCCTCAGAAGCACAGTGACATAAGCCGGAGCGTGACCTAGGTTAACAATACCTCTATTATGCCATCTGTGCAACCTCAGTTATTCCCACTGAGTAAATTGGAGCTCTATCTGTAAAGTCTTAAGAATGATGACGATTGGATGAAAAATGAAATGTTTGACGCCGTGATGCTGACATGGGCAGCTCTAACAGCTTATAGGCTGATGAACAGTGCAGATTTAATGCTCATTGTTCAATAATTGCTTGCCTAGTTATTACATTTCTGTTCTGTTTACCGTGATGATTGATGATGATTTAAATGCATTGTAAATATTTGTAAAATTAGAGCTCATATCTCTCCTGCATGGAAAAACAGGCTCCTTAAAGACTGAGTTAATGGCCACATGTGCAGATACTGCATACTTATTGAATCAGTCGCAAAAATTTGCCTCCACATCCGATGAGCTTGTAGAGCTGTGTTGTCATTGCTTATTTTGAGGATGGGTTGTGTTTTTGCTAACCTTTTATGCCTTGTCTATTAACATATTTCTGTCCTACAAATCTTCCTAGTCACACTGACATTGGGCCAGAGCTTGGCTCAGAGCATCATTTCCTGAATCAGCTCCTCTAGGGAACACACAAACTCGAGAACATCAGCATGGAGTTAGAACACACTTTCTATATTTATCTGACTAATACGCTCTGTGGCTGATTGTCTCATCTTGATAATGTTTCATATTTTATGCATCCATTTTTAAAGAGGAAGTACAGGAAGTGTCAGCTTTTACATGAAGGCACAACATAATGACAGCATCAGGTCCCCCCCTGTTACATCTTGGAGGTTTACAGTGTTATAAATTGGTGTTAGCATCTTGTAAAACAACAACAGTGCTGCAAAATAAAGCTGTCAGCTGCTGGTTTTACTCAGTCGGTAGAGCGGGCGCCCCCTTGGACTCAGGCTTCAGTCCTCGTCTTACCGGTTGCAGGATCGATTCCTGGTCCTGACGCTGTTTGATGCATTTCACCCTCCACTCTCTTCCCTCATATTTCCTCTCTCTCTTCAGCTGTTTACTCAAATATATAATCTAACACAACCTTCTTCCTGCACCATATGTGAGGAAGTGCACGTACATGCATTTGTAAGGAACTGCAATCAATTTTCTGACTTGTCAGAAACTTTCAAAACCTAGCTTTCATTGTCTGATTTCTCCAAAGTCACCTTCCTCTGATTTAAAGCTGTACAAGCTGCTTTACCTCGTGATGTTTGAAGGGCGATCAGTAATCAGGGCAGAAGTTACAGATCAGTTATAAGACACAAACACACAAACACAAAAGCCTGCTGAAAGTTCAGTAAGAGCAAAGCATCACATTAATCATGTCTGACTTTGCTTACGTTGAAAGAGCGCTCAGGTTCCTGTTGCATTCTTCATGTCATTCAGGAGAGACTTCATGAGAGTAAATAATATATTTTTTTTTACAAGATTAGAAAAGAATAAGAAATGATTAGACTCCATCATAAAGTCTTTATGTCTCATCCATTTCATATAAATGTGTACTCGTATAAAGAGGTATCATTACATACCTACTGAAAGGAGTATAACGTGAGGGTTGTCCTTGACTTGAAGTTACACTGAGCTTGAATCTCCTCTCAGTCTGCTGACATAAACATGCACCGTCCTCCTCTCATACTGAGTTAACACGTTGTCCTGCTGTCCTCCCATCAAAATGTGCTGCTTCTCCTTAACCTGGTGTCCCGTGTGAGTTCAGTGATTGACAGCTCGTACATTTGAGAGGAGTCAAGTGTCGCCTACAATTGTAAAGCAAAAACAGATGAGGAGATGTGATGACCTTTTTCTGTTGAAGATAATGGATGGCTTTATGTGTCATCTGCCAACATCTTACTCCCACACACACACAAACACATGTTCACACACACAAACACACACACACATTGTGAGGCTTGTTTAAAGCACCAGCAAAGCATTTTTCTGTGTTTATATTAAAGACGACAGCGGCTGCCATCAGGACAGAATCCCTGGGGATAGGTCCAAGTTTAGTCTTTCACAGCTTCACCTAAAATACTGCATGTGCTGAAACACAGCAGACAAAGTGTTACACAAAATGTCACATTACATAACAAATGCAAAAACTGAAATCGTTCAGCCAGAAGAATCAGCTTTCTCTATGGAGATAAACAGCTTATAAAACATACATTTGGACCAAGACAAGAGTTTTAGATCTTCATTCTTCCCAAAAAAATCCCTGAAATTGAAGGAGACCTGTCTGTATTATTTGTGCAGCTTTTGGTAAAAGCATGGAAATGGCCATGAGCTTTAGCAGCTTTAATTGCTGCTGACACTGATCCACGCCGTGCTGCTCCTCGTCTACCTCTGAAGTGTAGTCGCTCAGCAAACTATTAAACGTGCGTAGGTGAAAAAGAAACCTGCGTGGAGAGAATGACACTTTGTCTGCACAAAGCTCAAACATCGATCATGTGGACAGATGCTGAGTGAACAAACATAATTATGAGAATTTGTAGTCATCAAACCATCATCGATGATGAGCGACAGTCCAACATATTCAGGTTTTTGTGACACCTTTATTCTGGCTGCAATCTCAGATCCAATCAGCTTTCATCTGATGACAACATACGACTCTAAGAATGATGGAAATGTCAGAATAGCCTGCAGTGAAGGGTAGATGACGTCCAGCCAAGAGCTTGTTTTCTGCATTGTTTACTGTCCACTTTGAAGCTTCAGATGGGACTGTGTTTTCAGATCAACAGAGAAGTGAAATTAGCCCTTCAGATATGTCTGCAACGTAAAAACGATCATATCTTTGTTCATTACTCCTCCAAGAGGAATGTCTGTTCATCTGCCTCTGATGAGTCTCACTTTGACTGTAAATAATAAGTTACACAGAAGTTTGCAAAGCTCAGTGATACATGCTGGTCAACGAACACTTTGACACCTCCCATACTTACATCCATCATTTACTCATTCTTATGGAATCTCTTCATAGATCTCTTCTCTTCTATTCATTGTTAAGATTGAAACTTCAACTGAGACTTTCTCTTCTTTTTATCCATGTTGTCCTTCCTCTGCTTTTTTTCTTTACGCATAAAACACTTTGGACCCTCTGTCATGTTTGGATCGTTATCCTGGTTTCAGTTAGTTGTGATACACTTACGGACATCATGCATCCTCTTTGTGTTTGGCTTTATTATAAATAATTGAAATTAGCAGAGAGATCCTGCCTCCCCCCTTGCAGAGGGAGGAAAAGACGCTGTGGGTGGGAGAAGGGCATGGCACTCGGCTCTAATTAATCACACTGGGAGTTTTTTTTCAGCTGCCAGAACTGTTGTTGGAGCATCTCTTTCACCTCCACGACAATCACAGCCTGCATTCCTATCTTCACTGTAACCTCTAGGGCCGAGGTTTATTTTTTTAGAGTGAGGTAAAATACTCTCCTCCTCCTCCTCCTCCTCTCATTGACTTCTCATGATCAACAAACATCGTGTGTGTTTGAACAGCCAGGTGTGGTGTGATTCCTGCTGACCGATTAAATCATGAACACATTTAAAAAGCTCATAAATCAGCATTCATACAACACTGTATCCAAAGATGTCTGTGTAGGTTTTCAGTCATCCAGGTCATGGTATTTTCGAAGCTAGAATTCTAGAACTGAAGAAGCCTTTCGGAGGAGAGGTGAAACGTCCTCAAGATCTTCAACCAGTTGTCCAATTGCCTTTGGATAAAGCTTGAGTTTTCGAGGTGATCTTCCAGGGCTTGTGTGTTTCTGCACTCAGTAGACGGCGATCACATGAAAAGTGGGCGAGAAAAGCTACTTAAGCACTGTCGTTAAGAAGCTTGAGATTAAATAGTTTGAGGTGTTTTTATTGACAAGAACTTGATAGTTTGAAATTCTCAGTTGGAATAGTTGACCATTGTGGAATAATGTGTGATAAAATATGCACACTTTTTTTTAAAATTCTAAAACCAAAGTAGAAAACCTGTCCGAAGCATTCACATCCATGTGCAGAACATGAGACTCTCTGCAGTTTGTCCTTGTTACAACAGGCTAACGAGCTAACGAGCTAACAGGCTAACAGGAAACACATTCATGCCCAGATATTTTAACACCTGGTTGATTTAAAGGTTTAAAAAACAGCTTTTTCAAAAGAAGCCAACAAAAGAAATAGTGAACAGTAGGAATAATGTGAGAATATAAGGGTATGCGTGCATAACTGATGTCACAACATAAAATGTTTTAAAGCCAATTCTCTGAAACAACCCGAGATTTAAACCAGTGGATTGTCTTATAACCTTTAATAATGGAGTAGATGGGACGGAGGCAGCGTGACCATAAACACAGAGCTCACCAGGAGCTGCAGAAGGCCCGCAGTGTGTTTCTACCTTCACACCCACACAGAGACAGACTGTCAGTAAACACACTCGCGATGAGGGTTCAAGACAATCAAAGAGGGGCCTGCATAGGTACAGTATACACAGATGTGGAGATTGACCTTCCGAAACACTTTCCACTCTGTGTTTGGATAATTTAAAAAATAAAAATGAACGAGCTTCTAAATCGATAATCAGGTCAAAATAAACAACAAAGAATCCCACTGTAATTAACGGTGCTCCGTCTGCACCCACCCCCTCCCCTCTGTGCTCCCTCAAAAGCCACGCCCCCTCACTTATATGCACGAGCGCCGTTAGTCCAGAAGCGGACCTCGGCTCATCGCTTTGAGTGTGGGCTTGTGCATGCATGGGGTAGAGAGCGAGCAGGGAGAAAGGGAGGCGTGTGATTGGTTCATCAGATTGGTACCTCGTGGCAGACATTGGTGGAAGTTTTTAAAGGCTTACAACTGCTACAGATGACTGATTTTCTTTGTTCCTTTTTCAGAGCACATGAGTTATTAATGTCTGTCAGGACCTAAAGACAATTTCAACCACAATCTTTAAAAGTGGATCTGGAGGAAATTACCAACCCTGCCTTTAAAAGGAAAACGCTCTCAGGGAAAAATGGCCTCCCTTCATTTTGTTGACATCAGCTTTAAAGAGTTTTATTTTCTGTGTCAAACCGTTTTTTAAGCCGCCACGGATCCCTTTAGAAATGAGATTCATTGAAAACCTGGAAATAAATCTGTGTTTAATAAATCTAAACACAGACCTTCCATTGGAGTTTTAAATTCTGGTGACTTTAAATGTCAGACTGTTATTTCATGGGAAAGCTGCTCACAACGGCAGGCTGACTTTATACTCATGAATGCAGACAAACATGCAAAACAGACATGATCGTTTATTAATAATCAAGATGTGATTCCTTTACAGAGCGACTAAGTTAATATTGGTTTCAAACGTATGAGGAAACCAAGAGTCCATTTCTAAAATGACCCAATATTTTAAAATTCACAGTGTTTCTATCAAAAACAAGAAAGAAAAGAGAATCCCCTCGTCTCCTGGTCGAGGTTTCCTCTCACAGGGTGGTTTCATCGTTAAAAAGCTCAGACTCACCAGGAACGTGTTCACATGGTCATGACTTATTTAACTACAGAGATTCAAACAGTGTTGTCCAGCAACTTCCAAAATAATGTCAGCATCTTAAGTCGAAGTTCATAGTTCATCAGATTCCTCAGTAGACAGTTTGTTTCTGAGGTTCAAAGGATGAGTTTGACCACGGTGTGCGTCCACTGAAGGAGAAGTCGTTTCAGAACAAAGAGGAGGAATTAAAAATCCACAGGAGGAAGATCCTCGACTGCACGGGCCTTTTTTTTTTTCAAAACGTATAAAAAGCTTTTAAAAGATGACGCACCAAAGGAAATATAAGAGCCATGACCAGCAACAATATTCAAACCATCTCAATGAACCACCAGGTCACACTATCTATCACAATGCAAATAAAATACTGCATATTCTAAAGGAGGGAAAAGAACAACAGAAGAGAGGAACCACAGCACAGATAGAGCAGATCAAATGAGAACGGCATTGAGCAGGGGGAAGTCACCTGTTCAAAAAAAGCCTCAAAATGGACTTTTCTAACAGCAACTTCTTCCATACCTGAAAGTTATTTTTAAGGCTTTACTGCAGAACAGATATATTTAAAAACTAACTAAGCGCTGGTCAATAACCAACACTGTATTTAGTGTTGGCTTCAGTTTGATACAGCAGCGCCTCACATCACAAAGAAATAAAGTTCAAGCAAGAATCTCAAGTTGAATGATGGACGCTTCATGTTGTCTTATCTCCAATTTCCTCTTTAAGTCCTCCGAGCAAAGTCCCGAGACACAGAGAGCATCAGTGTTCAAGACGGATACATTTCCAATCAGTCAACGGATCACGGGTTAATGGTGCTTGGTTGTAGTTTGTGGTGCGTCAGGATGAGCATCATAGGCATGTCTGGCTGTTGACGACTGTTTTTGAAGTTAAAGGCTCGCTGTCGAAGTCTCCAATGACTTCAAGCTGGACCTGCTGCTGAAACGAGACACAACGATTAGAGGTGAAATAAAAGCAGAATGATGAACAGATCAGGAGAGCAGAGGACTTTTTGGTTGATGTTAAAGGATTGTGATTAGCTCAGTGTAGAGCAACCAGTGCTGTCAAAAATATTAGTGTATAAATCAGGGAGGTTCCTCACTTTAACAGACGTTTAAATTCACACTACCAGACTACTCTAAAGGAAAGATAAAGACTCAGAAAACAGTCAAAATTGAGGACAATTGATTCAAATTGTCGCCTGATAAACGATCATTTGGGTTCGCTGAGGGCCAAGCGGTTATGTCACGCCCGATGTATGGAGGCGGTAGTCCCTCCAAGAGGGCGATACCGGGTTCAAACCCTTCCTGCACTTTCTACTCTATCCACTTGCCTATTTAATTGAAGGCAAAAGCCAAAAGATGAATAAAAACAAACAATCGAGTGAGAAGGACGATCTCTGTGCATGTTATTAAACGGCTGGATTATGTTTTCTGTTCATCAGTTCTTTTCCTCTCTTTTGTAGATATGGTTGTTCTGTTGAAGTGCATATGTGAACAGCCAGGTCAGGAGAATTTCAGGAGCAATCCTTTTGAAATGATCTAGATATTTTCAGGAGCGCATGTGTGAAAACAGCTTTGGTGGTCTGGTTCAGCAAGAGGTTTCTGACGTTTTTTCTTGCCACTGTTGCCAGATGTTGCTAGGTTGCTTGTTCATGGTATAGGTATGTTTTGCGGGCTGGGCACACTTTGAAAGACCTCCCTCAGCCCGATTCCAAACCCGTCAACAAGATACTGAAACTATCTGTTGTTGATGGCTTGTTTATGTGTTCACTTTGCTTCCAGTCTGGAATCAGTTCAACATTGGGAACTTAAATGTGTTGTTTCTGGTTTTCTAACTGTCCTCGGCAAAAAAAGTCCTCGACCACTTCTGTTAGAATCAAGTCAGATAAAAAGACCTGCTAGCAGAAATAAACCCTTCAATTCATCCGAGCTCGAACTGTGACGTGGATGTAAATGTCTTCAGTAAGACTTGAGTCTCAAAATTCAATGTTTTGTCTTTGATCATTTTTTTTGCAAAATACCTGAGCGCTCTGCTGTTTTCCATTCCGTTCCAATGGGAACGTGGTTTTCCTGCGGTGCCTTCTTCCTGCCTCTCTTCTTCTCCGTCGTGCAGACACTGTTGGGCTTGTGGACGCAGATCACCTTCTGGAAGCTCTGCTTGAAGTTGTCGGACAGGAAGCCGTAGAGGACGGGGTTGGCACAGGAGTTGACATATGTGAGGATGACCAGGATGAAGTAGATGGCGGTGGTGGCTTTGGTCTCGGGGATGATGTGGATCAGGTTGACTGTGTTGGTGGTGTAGAAGGGAAACCAGCAAAGTACGAACACGACCACGATGATCACCACCATGCGCGTCACCTTACGCTCTGACTTACGGCGCTTAGTCAGGCCCGCTCGCACACCTGCAGACCTCACCTGAAAGAAGAGGTTTCATAAGATTAGAAAGAACACTGAGTTACACAAAGACAGATGTAATTTGATCCGCCTCCTTACCTTGATGACAATGAGCAGGTAGCAGAGGCAGATGATGACCAGAGGACCGTAGAAGCCCAGGATGGATGTGTAGAGGATGAAGACGACGGCCCACAGCTCTTGCGGATCAGGCCAGGTGATGTTACAGGTGTTCAGCTCTTCCTGTACATTTGAGTAAATCGTGACCGGCAGAACCACCAAGAAGGACACGACCCAAACCATGCCGTTTAAAACCTTTGCCACCTGAGGTTTCCGCCATTTAGAACTGCGGATCGGATGAACCACGGCCATGTAACGATCGATGCTCATCACTATCAGGCAAAAGGTGGAAGCAAACTGGCTCATGGTGTCGGCAGTCATGCACACCTTGCAGAAAAAATCCCCAAATGGCCAGTTAGAGAGCACGCTGTTGGTGCCCAAGAATGGAATCCCCAGGATGTAGAGTTCATCCGCCAGGGCTAAATTAAGGATGTACATGTTGGTCACTGTCTTCATTTTGGCATAGCGGACCACCACGTAGATGGCCAGAGTGTTTCCCAGGAGACCCACGATGAAGACGACGGTGTAGACGACGGCGGTGACCACATCAAAGGGCATCGGAGTAGCCATCTCTGACGTATTCCTGGAGGTGGGGGAGCTGCGGAACGGCTGGGAGGGAGAGACGCCGTCGCTCTCAGAAATCATCGTCCAATTTAAGCCATCCATGATGACGGAAGGGAGAGCCGGAGTCCGTTCAGATTACAAGGAAACAGCTGGGAACAGAAAAAAAAATGGATACACATTTCCATTAAATGCTCGCAAATAAGGAAAACCACAATGTCCATAGGGCTCTATGAGAATTCTACCTAACGCTCTCACAGCTGGGCTCTGTCAGAGCAATGTACCCATATTTACCCAGAAAGAGGAAACTTTCCATTCAATTGTGTGGGCAAGTGGCCAACATGTTCTGACTTCTCATGCGTTCATGAAGTACATGTCCTTTGTTTTTATTGCACTGCCTATTAAAAGTCTGCCCTAACATGTTTCTAGGAAAAAAAGGTTTGGTCACTACCTTGCACCCTTATCCTTTAAATTAGTGTCAGGCCTGTTTGATATCCCACCAACACCAACGCAAAAGTGCAAGAACCAAATTTCTTTGCAGAATTTTAGCCATTTAGAAAGTTGGCTTCCTACCAACTGAACCCATATAATGTTTAAAATCTCACAACAACACAACACGTCAGCAGTCGGCACAGGCTGCCTTGTGCATCTCAGAATGTTAAAAACATGATGTGCATCTCGGACATTTCCCCACAACCGATTAACCTTTCCAAACATTTCTGGAAGAAAATTTTAAAGAGATGTGAACAAAGACCCAAAGGACACATAATATTTACACTACAGGCGTTTATTGACGTTATACAGGGAGACACAACAGCCAGTTGAGCTCAAGTTTCACAAATATTCAATTACCATGTCTTGACCATGACTCAGGTGCACCTGTTGCTCTCATATCTTATTGATGTTTCTGTATTTCATTAATTTGTCACCTAAATGCAAAATGTACAGTCAGCGTTCCCCTCATCTTCCTGCCAAAGTGTTAGGAGTATGTTGCCCATTTTTTCCAAACATTTTCTACAGGTTATTAACACTGTGAATGACTGTTTTATCAATTGATAAGAGTCATTTTTAATAAAAAATATTCATGCCGTAAACGCCCTGGATTAACATAAATGTATCATGACTGTCTTCACCCAACTAAACCAAAGCCTGATTCCTTTTTTGTTGTGGTCTTAATGTTTTCAGAGTATCCCCAACAGAAGCATGAATGTGTAGTCCAAATTCAACTAAAGGCCACCCTCACCTGCCGGCTTGCGGGTTCACCTAAGATAATAAATAATCAACTAACCTTCATCTGTCAGACGTTTGGACCCGAGGCTGTGAAACCGTGTTGCACAAATAAATGGTGGGACGTGAGAATCAGTGAACCGAGCTGCAGAAAAAACACGGGAGTGACGCTCATCCCGCAGCATCGTGTTGAGAAAACAAACACATGCAGCCCCTGCCCCCTTCAGCCTCACAGGTGCTGGATAGCTTATATATGTATTTTTTTTTTAAATTAAAGAGCTATTTCCCACAGATATTCGAGCTACGTGACTGCCTCTTTACATTTACCAAATACAAGCGGGAAACGTATCCAAACTTCCGACACGTTCAAGTCCTTTGATTGGAAATACGTCATTTAAAAAAGAAAATCACAAAATAAAAACCATAAAGTATTCACCGATAGCTGACATATTCCACGAAAAAAAGAGTTTAAATCCATCCACTTCATGAATCCTCTGTATTGCTGTTAATGCAGTGATATTCAGAAGATGAAGTTCAACCTACCTGTGCGCTCCTGTGCGCTCTATCCTCTCCAAAGTCCGCTGGCGTGTTGCGCGTCTCTCATGCGCTTTTGGAAACGTGCGCTCCGAATCAGCGCTCCCGCTTAAACTTGTCATCTTGAGGCATTTTCCAGCTGTCTGACACAGATTCCCACAGTCAGAGGCGCCAGAAACCCTCTTTCCTCTCGGATGCCGTCACTGGTGAGGACTGTAGACATGCGTTCCTTGCAGCAGGAGAGAAATGCACTCACAGGGTTCATTATGTTGTGCCTCGATGCACCCCGTATATTTAAGTGGAAAATGTCACCCGGCCCGCAGATGTATGCCCCACCCACTAACACCTCACAGCACCAGGCTGTTGGTGAAAAAACATTTTAACCCTGAGTGATCTTTTGTTGTCCTCTGCAGCCTAATCTTTAATATACACTCATAACCTTCTTTGTTTTGCAGGGGCGAGTCCAGAGCGTTGTCCATGGGTGGCATGGACCCCGTTGAAATCTGATTGACCAGCCTAAGTGCCACCCTAAGACTCTATACTATGATTAGCTATTTGCCTTGCAGAGATAGGACTAAGGCTAAAATTACCAATGGATTGTGTTGAGCACGGTGGCAGTAGTTTCTTTAACATTTCCATGTTGCATGTTACTACTTAAATATACTTTGTACATATATTTCATGAGACAGCATGGCTGAATAAGGAATTAGTCCGTAAGATTTTGGGGAAAATAACCTCCTGCACACTGTCCAACTTGTAATGAACTAAAAATGTTTTGGCTGCTGATAAATGTATTTATACAAGTTTGACACGGTCCTGGAGTTTGCATGCAATTTAACAAGTTCTTTAAATTTGCATCTTGGCATAGGCTACATCTTCTTTTTGAGCCCTTAAAGATGTTTACTTTGCCATTATTTTGTTATTTCAAAGTAGATGATCAGTGGAGAATGGAAGAGGTAAATAAATGAATTAATCTGACTAGTGAACTAAGTCAGGGCCACTGCAGTCAAAAAAAAACCTGAGGAATAAGTTAGCTTCATGGGGGCCGGGACACCTGAGACTGAGGGAGACGAATTAGGGAGGAATGGAGAAGTTGTGGAGGTGGAGGGAGGATGGAATTTGGCTCTGGAGGAGCTGTTTGATGGCGATGGTCTCAGAGAGCTGGCTACTTTTAAACCATTAACTTCATGTTGCTGTCATCGAGCTCAGTGCAGACGATCCTCTCACACATTTGGACTGGTCTGGGAGCAGGTACAGGAGTGCAGATGTCTGTGTGTGTGTGTGTGTGTGTGTGTGTGTGTGTGTGTGTGTGTGTGTGTGTGTGTGTGTGTGTGTGTGTGTGTGTGTGTATACTGTACATGTTTACAGTGCTGCATTTTCCACCAGTGCACAGCATCAAAGGGGGTTAAAAAAGGACGTGTGGGGAGGTAATGACGTCTCTATGTGGGTCCAGTTTGACCGGTTCTTACCAGAGCAGAGCAGAAGTTGTGAGACCTCTGAGTTTAAAAGTAAACAATGTGAAACTTCTGCGTAGTCGCTGCCCTAAAGGAACAGAGGTGTGGTGGCAGATGCCAGGATGTGACACGGCTAATTTACAACAGGTGATCGGCAGTGTGGGAAAAGTATTGTGCAATAACTTCTCGTATTTACATTTACTGACCTCACAGATCCCAGTTCTCAGGGTTTCATCTTTATCTGTTGCTGTATTTAGGAGTCTATTCCTCCCCCTTTTCCATGTCTTTTGTATATTTGGATTGTTTATAATTGACGGACATATGTAACAGAGTTTGTGCTTTTAGTTTTTGTTGCTTTGTCCATTCTTACATCTGTACCAGATTAACTGTTCTGCTTGAATTCCCCTCGGGGGTTCAGTGAAATATTTCTGATTCTGATTCTGAGCTCAAAACCAGAAACAAAGCTAAAGGGGAGGGGTGTTTCTGTCCAGCTGCTGAAGTTCAACAAATCAACAAACTTTCTCCAGGAGTGCATACTCCAGTGCAAATGAGACCCGTTGAATTTCTTCAAACGTTCCTACACAGGCCGCATTATGCATCAAAAATACTTAACAAAGAGGGAAAGACAACACATTTTAAAACCTCTCATCATCGGCAAACAACTTAACGTTTAAATCTAGGTTAAAGTTTAGGCTTTGTGTGTTTAGATGAATGTGAGGCTTTAGAGTAAACAGCATTTCTCAGCTTCTTTTTTTGATAGTTGCTGCACATTAAGAGCTCTCTGTGTGTCAGACTATAACTTAGATTTCTATTTTCAGATCGTGCACGAAGATTGTTTCTTGTTTCAGCTGCAGCCTGAAGATTTTTCTGCAGTTGTTTCCTCTGATTTGATTTATTTTTAACAGAAAAGATGGAATTAATAACGCACAAAGGGTTTAGAAACTTCAAGACTATAAAGATTTTAAAACTCTCCTGGATACTGTGTTCCACTTTATTCTGAAGGAAGACTTTATTTTAACAATTAAAGGCATCCTCAATGCTTTGAGATATAAACCTTTGCTGAGTTCAAAAAGTTTAAAGACATTGTAAATTCATTTTTTTTTTCTTCTTGGTGCTTATACATTTGAGTACTTATTATTTATGCTAACAAAGCCCTCCCGTTCTGTTCGCTGACGGGCTAATAAGAAGAGTTAATTAGGAAAAACCTTCAGGCTGTATTTCATGACGAGGATTATGTCAGCGCACACACTTCCCGCACACACATTCATTTATAGCATGGTGAGGTCGACCGGCTGGGTCAGGTCCTTTGTATGAGACTAATTGTGTCAGCTTGAGACGATCGTTGAGACAGAGAAAATCAGGAGCTGCCAAAGCAGAGCTGTAAGCACAGTCCACCCCTTCTGTTTTTTTAATTTGCATATTAATCATATAAGACTGCTTGAAGGATCTTTGATAGTTTTGTGGTGGTCATAAAAAGTACAAAAGATGGATTGAAGGTAGAGCTTCGTTACACCGTGCCCATCAATTAGTGGTGATTCATTTTCACAGGATACCCCTCAGATGTCTGCACAGTTGACTCAAAGGCCGCTTATCAGGAGGCGACTATAATGAGAGATAATGAGCACGGGGAGGAGTGAGTCAGAGTGACTCACACGCCGTAAGGCTCACATTATGGTTATCTGTTGGCTCACCTCAGTGCATCACAGCAGGTGACCTGACGAGGACGGTGAGAGACCGCTCACATTTCAGGACCATGCATGTGTGTGTCTGTGTCACTGTTTGCCTTCATACACTCTGTATATATGATGATAATTATAAAGGCAGTGTATATGTAGTATGCACACAATCATTCATCATTTTTAAAGCTGTAAGTCTCTAAACTCTGAAATAGAGTTGTCATGATACCAGATTTTCAAACTTCGATATGATACTAGTAAAGATCCAACAATATCGATGCCTGCTTTGATACCACAGCAAGAAAAATAGAAGAGCACCAATTTCCTCTTTCCAATTCTCTAAAACTGCTGGCAAACTCCTTCACACTGCATGAAAACATGGGCCTATATTTCTGTTCTGTACATGTGGTGGAATTTCTGTAGTTATTTAGATTATAATGTACAGACGTCATTAGGTTTATTCACTGTTCTCTAATGACAGTCAGACCTGACAGAGTTCAGCTGTTATTAGAACACCAAGGACAGCTTAGAGAGTGTCAGCTGTTCTTCCTGATATCTGCAAGGATGTTTGGTAGACTTATTGTCTGCTCCAGTGTTATAGACGTCACAGTTTAGTCTAGGTGGGTCAATGTGACACTACCCTGATAATGATAATGTCTTTTAGGATATATGCAATGCCTTTTAAAAAGTTCTGCAGATGTGATTGAGCAAGACACGAGTACAGAAGTGTGATGTTGAATCATGTCTCCTCATGAGTATTCATCTGATGTATAAACTTTCATCAACGTAAGCCATCTGAGTCGACTGAGTCTTATTGTGTGGAGTCAAGTCTTAGTAATTTTCTCAACAGTATAGGTGACCATGTATTTGTGCTATTTAGAGTTTGCCTGCAGTTTTTGATTGAGTCATCCCTCTTGTACACAACTTTATTTTAGAATCGATGTTGTCTTTTCTGTCAAAGTTTTGGCACTTTTTTAATGCAGAACAGGTCGAGGTCTACAGCCTCTGTACATGGGGCGTGCAAACTAACCACTAGACCATTTGGGCCCCTTCTCTTCAAAGCTATTTTTCGGGACCGATAAGACAGCTGAGGAGAAACGTCAGGAAATGTCAGGAGGAGCGAGTCGAGGGGGATGACACGCAGCAAAGGGCCGAGGGTCAGATTCAAAGCCTCGGGGGGGGGGGGGGAATACAAATGTTTTATTTTGTAAGAGTTCAAACTGGTTTCCTGCCTATGAAGCAATTTAAAGTCCATCTAGTGTTGAATGTATTTTGTCCCTCTATAAGGTGACTCTGCTGACTTCTCTCTGCCCCCCCAGTCTCTGACATTTATGGACTATTGACGGGCGTGTCTTTCTGACAGACTGACACGAGAAGAAAGGCTACATTTTCTCCGCTCCACTTGCTCCATTTGACCCGAGTTCACTCACACAGATTGGTGTGCGGGGCAGCACAATAGCTGCAGGATTAGGAGTGAGATTTTGTGTGACGTCCTTCAGCGAGTTCATTGGATGAGAAAGAAAAGAAGGAGCTGATGTTATACCATCAGGATTTACACCACCAGCACCGAGGAAGACAAGAGGCGGATAACAAATCCAGCTTCCCACACCTCACAAAATGTCTCTATAAAAAAGTTTATCTCCACCTCTCTCTAGTTTCAGACCTTTAACCTAGGATAGGATCATAAGCCAGAGAAAGCAGCGCACCTCCTCTTGTATTCTCGTATCATCTGTGATCTCACAGGACAAGAAGAGATTGACTGTAGAGAAATAAGCAGAATGAGAACGGAAACCACGCTGTTGAGCCCGATTGTTAGGATATGAGGGTCAGGTGAAAATCAGCCAAAAAACACCTGGCCTGGCTTTGGCACAACAACTTGGAAGTAGAGGGAAACAGCTAGCCCTGACCTGTGTGAAGATCAACTTCCATTCATTTATTAACATGTTTGATGTAGCTCATTGTACGAGTGCTGCGTGCATCACTCACCTGTCGGGCAGTAAATGTGCAGGACTATTTCTTGCCCAACGGTGCAGTAACTTCCTGACAACTTCCTGGAACTCTCTCCCTAAAAACATCAGAGACTCCCCCACACTCACTTCCTACAAGAAATCCCTAAAAGCTCAACTTTTCATCACCGCCTACAACCACTGACTCTCAAACTCTTCCCTCGACACTACTTCTATGTTGTATTGTTCTCTTAGTTTTTGCTTTGTTTTTTGTTGTTTCCTGTCAAAGCGTCTTTGAGTATTTAGAAAAGTGCAATATAAATCTAATTCATTATTATTATATAGACCTGCAGGTATGGGCGTGGTATCCATCTTCTCAGCTCACTCAGCAAAAACTCATATTTTTATCCGATTTCTCCAAATAGCAGCTCTCACAAATAAAGACATGGCAAATACAAATGTGAAAATAAACATATATTTTAAGATGCACAATATCACTGACATAACCCGAGTAATAGGAGCTCAGTTTAATCTCCTGCACTGTTTGATGACTCTTTGTGTATCAGGATCCAAAGTTCTTCAAGGCTATTTTTAATTTTTACGACAGTGATTAAGTTGTAATCATTACCTAACTCTACTTCTATTTCCACATTAAACTCAACAGGAACATTGTCATGAATCTCCTTGTATTGATGAGCAGAATACACAGTTTGTTGTGCATCCCATCCACAACAACACAAATCAACTCGAGGGGAACTCATAACCTTTTGTTAAAAATTATAAAAACCCTCAAACTTCAGATCCACAAAGTCAAACCCAGGACTCATTTTTGTTTCCAGTTCTTGTTTCATGAAGCAGCAGTGTCACTGGTGGCTGACAAAGAACACGAGGCGTATGGAGTAGGCAGAGTCCAGTGTGTAAACGATAAAGTTGAAGATGGTCATGAAGGTGACCATCACCAGTTTGTCCCAGGGACAGAGGTGTCCACAGTTAACGGGTCGCTTTGTTTTGAAACTGTACAGTGGCCAGATGACCATCGCCGTCGCGTACATCACTGCTGCTAGAATATTATAAACGATAACCACTTTGTCAAAGGAGATCGGAAAGTAAGAGGTGAACGGCCCGATGGTGAGCAGGATGACCACGATGTTAAAGATGAAGCACAGGGAGAACACGGCGACGCACCACTGCAGGGCGTGGTCGTTCGAGTACTGATTCGTCTCCAGCGACGTGAAGATGAGACAGACGAGGAACGTCTCCAACATCTTCATGATGCCCGGCACCGTGGCGAGGAAACCTATGTGCTCCCCGCTCGGACGGAGGCGGGTCAAGACCACTTCTCCTGCATACGCGGCGAAACACACCCAGGACACCACGGACGCTCCGATCTGACGGTGGCAGTCCTTGCAGGTGAAGAAGGTGGGGTAGATGATGGAGGAGGCGAAGCACATGAGGCTCGCCAGCATGGCAAAAGCGGTGGTGAAGTCCATCCACGCGAACGGGAGCTTCGAAGAGACGGCGGTGAACACTTTGACACCTCCCATACTTACATCCATCATTTACTCATTCTTATGGAATCTCTTCATAGATCTCTTCTCTTCTATTCATTGTTAAGATTGAAACTTCAACTGAGACTTTCTCTTCTTTTTATCCATGTTGTCCTTCCTCTGCTTTTTTTCTTTACGCATAAAACACTTTGGACCCTCTGTCATGTTTGGATCGTTATCCTGGTTTCAGTTAGTTGTGATACACTTACGGACATCATGCATCCTCTTTGTGTTTGGCTTTATTATAAATAATTGAAATTAGCAGAGAGATCCTGCCTCCCCCCTTGCAGAGGGAGGAAAAGACGCTGTGGGTGGGAGAAGGGCATGGCACTCGGCTCTAATTAATCACACTGGGAGTTTTTTTTCAGCTGCCAGAACTGTTGTTGGAGCATCTCTTTCACCTCCACGACAATCACAGCCTGCATTCCTATCTTCACTGTAACCTCTAGGGCCGAGGTTTATTTTTTTAGAGTGAGGTAAAATACTCTCCTCCTCCTCCTCCTCCTCTCATTGACTTCTCATGATCAACAAACATCGTGTGTGTTTGAACAGCCAGGTGTGGTGTGATTCCTGCTGACCGATTAAATCATGAACACATTTAAAAAGCTCATAAATCAGCATTCATACAACACTGTATCCAAAGATGTCTGTGTAGGTTTTCAGTCATCCAGGTCATGGTATTTTCGAAGCTAGAATTCTAGAACTGAAGAAGCCTTTCGGAGGAGAGGTGAAACGTCCTCAAGATCTTCAACCAGTTGTCCAATTGCCTTTGGATAAAGCTTGAGTTTTCGAGGTGATCTTCCAGGGCTTGTGTGTTTCTGCACTCAGTAGACGGCGATCACATGAAAAGTGGGCGAGAAAAGCTACTTAAGCACTGTCGTTAAGAAGCTTGAGATTAAATAGTTTGAGGTGTTTTTATTGACAAGAACTTGATAGTTTGAAATTCTCAGTTGGAATAGTTGACCATTGTGGAATAATGTGTGATAAAATATGCACACTTTTTTTTAAAATTCTAAAACCAAAGTAGAAAACCTGTCCGAAGCATTCACATCCATGTGCAGAACATGAGACTCTCTGCAGTTTGTCCTTGTTACAACAGGCTAACGAGCTAACGAGCTAACAGGCTAACAGGAAACACATTCATGCCCAGATATTTTAACACCTGGTTGATTTAAAGGTTTAAAAAACAGCTTTTTCAAAAGAAGCCAACAAAAGAAATAGTGAACAGTAGGAATAATGTGAGAATATAAGGGTATGCGTGCATAACTGATGTCACAACATAAAATGTTTTAAAGCCAATTCTCTGAAACAACCCGAGATTTAAACCAGTGGATTGTCTTATAACCTTTAATAATGGAGTAGATGGGACGGAGGCAGCGTGACCATAAACACAGAGCTCACCAGGAGCTGCAGAAGGCCCGCAGTGTGTTTCTACCTTCACACCCACACAGAGACAGACTGTCAGTAAACACACTCGCGATGAGGGTTCAAGACAATCAAAGAGGGGCCTGCATAGGTACAGTATACACAGATGTGGAGATTGACCTTCCGAAACACTTTCCACTCTGTGTTTGGATAATTTAAAAAATAAAAATGAACGAGCTTCTAAATCGATAATCAGGTCAAAATAAACAACAAAGAATCCCACTGTAATTAACGGTGCTCCGTCTGCACCCACCCCCTCCCCTCTGTGCTCCCTCAAAAGCCACGCCCCTCACTTATATGCACGAGCGCCGTTAGTCCAGAAGCGGACCTCGGCTCATCGCTTTGAGTGTGGGCTTGTGCATGCATGGGGTAGAGAGCGAGCAGGGAGAAAGGGAGGCGTGTGATTGGTTCATCAGATTGGTACCTCGTGGCAGACATTGGTGGAAGTTTTTAAAGGCTTACAACTGCTACAGATGACTGATTTTCTTTGTTCCTTTTTCAGAGCACATGAGTTATTAATGTCTGTCAGGACCTAAAGACAATTTCAACCACAATCTTTAAAAGTGGATCTGGAGGAAATTACCAACCCTGCCTTTAAAAGGAAAACGCTCTCAGGGAAAAATGGCCTCCCTTCATTTTGTTGACATCAGCTTTAAAGAGTTTTATTTTCTGTGTCAAACCGTTTTTTAAGCCGCCACGGATCCCTTTAGAAATGAGATTCATTGAAAACCTGGAAATAAATCTGTGTTTAATAAATCTAAACACAGACCTTCCATTGGAGTTTTAAATTCTGGTGACTTTAAATGTCAGACTGTTATTTCATGGGAAAGCTGCTCACAACGGCAGGCTGACTTTATACTCATGAATGCAGACAAACATGCAAAACAGACATGATCGTTTATTAATAATCAAGATGTGATTCCTTTACAGAGCGACTAAGTTAATATTGGTTTCAAACGTATGAGGAAACCAAGAGTCCATTTCTAAAATGACCCAATATTTTAAAATTCACAGTGTTTCTATCAAAAACAAGAAAGAAAAGAGAATCCCCTCGTCTCCTGGTCGAGGTTTCCTCTCACAGGGTGGTTTCATCGTTAAAAAGCTCAGACTCACCAGGAACGTGTTCACATGGTCATGACTTATTTAACTACAGAGATTCAAACAGTGTTGTCCAGCAACTTCCAAAATAATGTCAGCATCTTAAGTCGAAGTTCATAGTTCATCAGATTCCTCAGTAGACAGTTTGTTTCTGAGGTTCAAAGGATGAGTTTGACCACGGTGTGCGTCCACTGAAGGAGAAGTCGTTTCAGAACAAAGAGGAGGAATTAAAAATCCACAGGAGGAAGATCCTCGACTGCACGGGCCTTTTTTTTTTTCAAAACGTATAAAAAGCTTTTAAAAGATGACGCACCAAAGGAAATATAAGAGCCATGACCAGCAACAATATTCAAACCATCTCAATGAACCACCAGGTCACACTATCTATCACAATGCAAATAAAATACTGCATATTCTAAAGGAGGGAAAAGAACAACAGAAGAGAGGAACCACAGCACAGATAGAGCAGATCAAATGAGAACGGCATTGAGCAGGGGGAAGTCACCTGTTCAAAAAAAGCCTCAAAATGGACTTTTCTAACAGCAACTTCTTCCATACCTGAAAGTTATTTTTAAGGCTTTACTGCAGAACAGATATATTTAAAAACTAACTAAGCGCTGGTCAATAACCAACACTGTATTTAGTGTTGGCTTCAGTTTGATACAGCAGCGCCTCACATCACAAAGAAATAAAGTTCAAGCAAGAATCTCAAGTTGAATGATGGACGCTTCATGTTGTCTTATCTCCAATTTCCTCTTTAAGTCCTCCGAGCAAAGTCCCGAGACACAGAGAGCATCAGTGTTCAAGACGGATACATTTCCAATCAGTCAACGGATCACGGGTTAATGGTGCTTGGTTGTAGTTTGTGGTGCGTCAGGATGAGCATCATAGGCATGTCTGGCTGTTGACGACTGTTTTTGAAGTTAAAGGCTCGCTGTCGAAGTCTCCAATGACTTCAAGCTGGACCTGCTGCTGAAACGAGACACAACGATTAGAGGTGAAATAAAAGCAGAATGATGAACAGATCAGGAGAGCAGAGGACTTTTTGGTTGATGTTAAAGGATTGTGATTAGCTCAGTGTAGAGCAACCAGTGCTGTCAAAAATATTAGTGTATAAATCAGGGAGGTTCCTCACTTTAACAGACGTTTAAATTCACACTACCAGACTACTCTAAAGGAAAGATAAAGACTCAGAAAACAGTCAAAATTGAGGACAATTGATTCAAATTGTCGCCTGATAAACGATCATTTGGGTTCGCTGAGGGCCAAGCGGTTATGTCACGCCCGATGTATGGAGGCGGTAGTCCCTCCAAGAGGGCGATACCGGGTTCAAACCCTTCCTGCACTTTCTACTCTATCCACTTGCCTATTTAATTGAAGGCAAAAGCCAAAAGATGAATAAAAACAAACAATCGAGTGAGAAGGACGATCTCTGTGCATGTTATTAAACGGCTGGATTATGTTTTCTGTTCATCAGTTCTTTTCCTCTCTTTTGTAGATATGGTTGTTCTGTTGAAGTGCATATGTGAACAGCCAGGTCAGGAGAATTTCAGGAGCAATCCTTTTGAAATGATCTAGATATTTTCAGGAGCGCATGTGTGAAAACAGCTTTGGTGGTCTGGTTCAGCAAGAGGTTTCTGACGTTTTTTCTTGCCACTGTTGCCAGATGTTGCTAGGTTGCTTGTTCATGGTATAGGTATGTTTTGCGGGCTGGGCACACTTTGAAAGACCTCCCTCAGCCCGATTCCAAACCCGTCAACAAGATACTGAAACTATCTGTTGTTGATGGCTTGTTTATGTGTTCACTTTGCTTCCAGTCTGGAATCAGTTCAACATTGGGAACTTAAATGTGTTGTTTCTGGTTTTCTAACTGTCCTCGGCAAAAAAAGTCCTCGACCACTTCTGTTAGAATCAAGTCAGATAAAAAGACCTGCTAGCAGAAATAAACCCTTCAATTCATCCGAGCTCGAACTGTGACGTGGATGTAAATGTCTTCAGTAAGACTTGAGTCTCAAAATTCAATGTTTTGTCTTTGATCATTTTTTTTGCAAAATACCTGAGCGCTCTGCTGTTTTCCATTCCGTTCCAATGGGAACGTGGTTTTCCTGCGGTGCCTTCTTCCTGCCTCTCTTCTTCTCCGTCGTGCAGACACTGTTGGGCTTGTGGACGCAGATCACCTTCTGGAAGCTCTGCTTGAAGTTGTCGGACAGGAAGCCGTAGAGGACGGGGTTGGCACAGGAGTTGACATATGTGAGGATGACCAGGATGAAGTAGATGGCGGTGGTGGCTTTGGTCTCGGGGATGATGTGGATCAGGTTGACTGTGTTGGTGGTGTAGAAGGGAAACCAGCAAAGTACGAACACGACCACGATGATCACCACCATGCGCGTCACCTTACGCTCTGACTTACGGCGCTTAGTCAGGCCCGCTCGCACACCTGCAGACCTCACCTGAAAGAAGAGGTTTCATAAGAT